CAAATGTGTTTATCTGAACTTATAGGAATTGGAGACACATGCTTACTGGTGCGTTCCCTATCGTCGAGATAGGGAGAGTGCTTGTTCTAGCTTGAATGAATCGACCCCTCATACGGCTGATAAGCCAGCTGAGTATATCCCCCTGAAACAAAGTCAGACTGACCGTAGACGCTTATCAGCCACAACTCTGGAAGCATCTTTTTTTAGCAACATCTGGGCAAGCAAGAAGGCTCCCTCGACTTCCTTTTCCGGCTCAAGCAATTTGGGAGGTTATGTAATTCCCCCCAGCTCAAGTCATTCTGCCACTTTGGACCGATTAGCTACTTCGACAACCAATAGCTCAGAGGCTGTAACCATAGAGTCAGCATCCCGACAGCTGGTAGACCCGGTGGAAATGGAATTCTCGCCTGCAACTGGTCGGTCGTTCGATAAAGGACTGAGGAGGCGCCACGCTTGGAAGTCGGCTTGTGGCAGGCAGCCACGCACGGCCAATATATCTAGAGAAGGGTCACTTTGCGCTGTTAATCAAATTTCAATAGCCCCTGGTAGAACTGAAACTGTAGAGATGGACGTAACGCAGAACCCAGGAAGTCAAGGTGAGTAGCTTGAACAACGGCCAGGTGTATTTTCATATTTAATTTAAACAAATTTAATATTTTCATTTTTCCAACTTATTAGATTTTAAAATCAATAAGTCACTTTTTCTATGCTAGTCCGAAATCGTTTCTGAAAGTTTTCCGCGAATATACTGTCCTATACTCATTTTATCTATACATTCAAACTAACTTAATGAATATTGCCGCCCAGTTACTGTAAACATACTTCTAAGCTCTTCTCTTACTTGGGACACCACACCTTGAGATCTATGCCAATTAAATTCAGTGTTGAATGCAATTCAAAATTTTGCCTGCAATTTTTATGAATCTATCTACAAAGTGTTTGGTGACAACTAGTCTTTGCAGATCAATTTATGATAAATGCTTTATTTTCAATGAAATTTTAGGGGACAT